GCTTTCTCACTTTCCCTAGTTTAGAGGGGTGGTCTCCCAAGTCAGCCTGACACTGAAGTTAGGGCAATGCTAGGTTAGAAACGTCCTGCCAAACAGCAGCCCCAGTCCAACGCCGCAGCTCACACAGAGTGTAGGGCCCCACCTCTGGGGTAGGTGACTACGTAGACCAGGGTCCCCCCAGCGGGGTGGGTGGTAGGGCCCCTACCTCTGGGGTAGCCGACAACACAGACCAGGGTCCCCCCAGTGGGGTGGCAGGGCCCAACTCTGGGGTAGCCGACACAGACCAGGGTCCCCCCGCGGGCTGGCAGGGTCCCACCTCTGGGGTAGCCCACAACACAGACCAGGGTCCACCAGCGGGGTGGTAGGGCCCCACCTCTGGGGTAGTGACTACGTAGACCAGGGTCACCCAGCAGGGTGGGGTGGTAGGGCCCCACCTCTGGGGTAGGTGACTACGTAGACCAGGGTCCCCCAGCAGGGTGGAGTGGTAGGACCCCACCTCTGGGGTAGGTGACTACGTAGACCAGGGTCCCCCAGCAGGGTGGAGTGGTAGGACCCCACCTCTGGGGTAGGTGACTACGTAGACCAGGGTCCCCCAGCGGGGTGGCAGGGAACCACCTTTGGGGTAGGTGACTACGTAGACCAGGGTCCCCCAGCGGGGTGGGGTGGTAGGGCCCCACCTCTGGGGTAGCCCACAACACAGACCAGGGTCCCCCAGCGAGGTGGCAGGGACCCACCTTTGGGGTAGTTGACGACGTAGACCAGGTTCCCCCAGCCGGCGTCGGGGGCGTGCAGGATCCCCTCCACCAGCCGGACGCCCCGCATGCACTGCGACACCGGGTTCCGGTAGCGCAGCCCGCAGGCGCCGGGGAACTGGGCCGTCACGGTGGACAGCAGCACGGTGCCGTCGTCCTCGGACGGTATCTCGATGGGCTCGTCATTCTCGTCTTCCGTGACCCGGATGTACTCCGACATCTTCCCTTGTTGTTCTTCAAAAGGAAAAAGACACACGGGTGACCCGGGCTCGCGCGAGGCTGCTCACGCCCCTGTACCCACGTGCTAACACCGCCGCCGCTATTGTCCTGACTTCCAACAAGTAAACTGCTGTTCGCACTGTCCTGCGTGGGGGTCAGCCCTGGAGAACGGGGGAGGCCAGGGACACGTTCTAGAAAACGCGCCGCCCGGCCAGTCCGCTGCTTCCGACCGTCCCCGAGTCCCCACGTGGCCCCGGGGGCAGCCCCCGCACACACGGTCACCCCCCAACTCTCGCACTGCAGTCCTGAGAAACCTACCGCTGGGGGCCGGGGCAGCCTACACCGGCGCGCGGGCCGGGGCACACGTCCCTACGGAAGCCTGGGCGCCCAGCAGGGCGAAGCCGCCAGCGAGCAAGGTCCTCGGCGGGGCTCCCGGAGCCGGGCCTCGGGCGAGCCGCCCCTCCCGGCAGCCAGCGCGTGACGGCCGAGGGCGGAGTTTGCGGCGCGGCCCTGGGTGGGGCCGCAGGGGCACAGGCCTGGGCTGGCCGCCGGCCCCCGCGGCGCACGTCCCGATCGCACTCGCGCTGCCCCGGCCCGGACAGACCAGGCCCAAACTCCGCCCGAGGCCCCGCGGGCCCCGCGTCCCTGTCCGGGCGCCGGCTGCCAGTCCGCGCCGGGCCCTAACGACGCTCCCGCGCGAGCCCGCTCGGGCAGGGCCCCACGGCTCCCTTCCTGCCCGAAGCTGCCGGGGCGCCCCGGGCATCCTCAGTGAGAAGCGTCCGCGACTCACCCGCTAGGCCGCTGCTAGGGAGCCCGACGGGGAGACGGAAGCAGCCCGGGGTCCGAGAGCAGCGCAGCTACCACCGCTTCGTTCCCACAAAATGGCGCTAGGGCCGCCTCCTCCTCCCCCCGCCGGCCGTCGTCCTCTCCCACCGGCTCCCCGTCGAGAGGGGGAGGACGCCGCACGGACCCACACCCGCCCTTCTCCTGGAGACTGGGTTCCTCCTGAGAGTATGAGCACGCGGAGAGGATTTGAACGCTACCGTGAACCAGCACTTGGGCTGGAAAGTTAAAGACTTGGGGGAAAAAAAGTGGGCGTGGAGGCCTTCCGCTCCCCCCACGCAACGTAGCAGATGGTTCCGTCCGACCAACCGTCGGCCCCGGGTCTCGGCCGGAGCTCGCGCACTTTCAAAGTGCGCGAGACGAGCGCGGTCCCGGAAGGGCGAGGCGGGGCGTGGGCGGCGGGGCGGGGCCTGTGGGCCGGGGCCGCGGAGTTCTCGTGCGTGGAGGGGGGCAGGTGCCGCTTCTAACTGTCCCGCACCCATCCCGCACACACACCTGGGAACAACCGCCTTGTCCTAAGCTCTCGTGTTCTCCGTGAGGCCCGGGCTCAGCGGTTGAGTGGGTCGGGACAAATGGGAGACCCGGCATTTGAACGCTGAGGCCCGAGCGAGCGTTCTAGCACGTTCCCCGCGTGTGGGCCCGGCCCCGCGCCCCAGCCAGACGCCCCTGTTGTTTCTCATGGCTGACGTGGCTGTGTGGGCCGCGGAGGAGGCAGCAGTCTTGTTTTTTTTTTTTTTTTTTTTTTTTTTTTTTTTAGTTATTTATTTGAGACAGAGAGAGCGGTCCTCCGTTCGCTGGTTCATTCCCCAAGTGGCCGCAATGGCTGGAGCTGGGCGGGTTGGAAGCCGGGAGCCAGGAGCTTCCGCTGGGTCTCCCACGCGAGTGCAGGGCCCAAGCCCTTGGGCCATCTTCTACTGCTTTCCCAGGCCACAGCAGAGAGCTGGATCAGAAGAGGAGCAGCTGGGACTCGAACCAGCGCCCATATGGATGCCGGCACTGCAGGTGGTGGCTTTACCCGCTACGCCACAGCGCCGACCCCAGTTTTATTTATTTTTTTCTGTCTGCTGGTTCACTCCCTAAATGGCCACAATGATCAGGGCTGAGCCAGACCAAAGCCAGAAGCCAGGAACTCCATCTGGGTCTCCCACATGGTGGTAGGGACCCAAGCGCTTGGCCCATCACCCACTGCCTTCCCGGACACAGCAGGGAGCTGGCTGGGAGGTGGAGCATCCGGGAATCCAGCCGGTGCATCACAGGTGGGGCCCTAACCTGCTGCTCCCACAGCGCTGGCCCGGAGAAGCGGGTTTATTACCCCCACTTTGCAGAAGGAAAAACTGAGGCCCAGGGGCCGTGTGACCAAAGATGTCCCTGAGCCCAGACATAGCTGTCCCAGGTCTGCCCACTGCCCTCGAGTCAACACGAAGATGGAGGCCGGCGCCGCGGCTCACTAGGCTAATCCTCCGCCTTGCGGCGCCAGCACACCGGGTTCTAGTCCCGGTTGCCCCTCTTCCAGACCAGCTCTCTGCTGTGGCCCGGGAGTGCAGTGGAGGATGGCCCAAGTGCTTGGGCCCTGCACCCCATGGGAGACCAGGAAAAGCACCTGGCTCCTGGCTTTGGATCAGCGCAGTGCGCCGGCCGCAGCAGCCATTGGAGGGTGAACCAACGGCAAAAGGAAGACCTTTCTCTCTGTCTCTCTCACTGTCCACTCTGCCTGTCAAAAATAAAATTTAAAAAAAGGCGGAGATGGAGGCATTGGGACTGGAGGTACCCGGTGCCGGAGGGCAGAGGTGCTGGGGACAGGATGGCCAAGGGAAGTTTGCAGGTGAGTCAAGACAACCAGCAAATAGCAAACACAAAAGCTAAAAAACAAACTGGAATACCAGACATACTCCACCTGCCAAACCCATCCTGGGGTTCCGCTCGAGATGAGCGCAGATTGCCGAGAGCTGCAGGAAGGGCGCGTGTGTGCCCGCGCGCGTGTGTGTGTGTGCGTGTGTGTGTGCGTGCGCCCGCGTGTGTGTCACGCCCCTCACTGTAACCCCGCAGGTTCTTGCAGGGCTGAAAAGAGCTTTCTGCAGGGCACAGATGGGGCAGGGCTCACTGGGCTCCCAACGCCTCCCCCAGCCCTGGGCTAAACCGCAGCACAAAGACACACAAGAAGGAGGGTACCTGGATGTATTCCAGGTGTGGGATGGGGCCAGGTAGCCAGCGCAGGAGAACCTCGGGGAGACTGCTGGGGGATAAAGCTCCTGGATGCTAGCCTGGGACGGACGCCGAGGGTCTGGGGGCTGCCCTGACGGTGATCTGGGGGGTCTGGGGCTTTCCCTGAGGTGTGCTGTGGGGGTCTGGGGGCTGCCCTGACGGTGAGCTGGGGGGTCTGGGGGCTGCCCTGACGGTGAGCTGGGGGGTCTGGGGCTTCCCTGAGGTGTGCTGGGGGGGTCTGGGGGCTGCCCTGACGGTGAGCTGGGGGGTCTGGGGCTTCCCTGAGGTGTGCTGCGGGGGTCTGGGGCTTTCCCTGAGGTGAGCTGCGGGGGCCTGGGGGCTGCCCTGACGGTGAGCTGGGGGTCTGGGGGCTGCCCTGATGGTGAGCTGGGGGGTCTGGGGCTTTCCCTGAGGTGTGCTGCGGGGGTCTGGGGTCTGCCCTGATGGTGAGCTGGGGGGTCTGGGGTCTGCCCTGATGGTGAGCTGGGGGTCTGGGGGCTGCCCCAATAGTGAGCTGGGGGATCTGGGGGCTTCCCTGAGGTGTGCTGCGGGGGTCTGCCCTGATGGTGAGCTGGGGGGTCTGGGGCTTTCCCTGAGGTGTGCTGCTGGGGTCTGGGGGCTGCCCCGATGGTGCGCTGAACCTGGAACGTGCAGCCTGCCTCGGAGGGGGGGTCTCCTCCCCTCCCACCACCTCTAGGATTCCGGGCTCCGTCCACTCCAGACAGGGAACAGGAGGGAGTTCCCCAAGCATCCCCAAGAACTCACACGTCAGGGTAATCCTGATACTGAAATAGAGGTTCGACTCCATCTTTTTAGGTCCTGCCAAGCTGGACCTCCCCTGCGTCTAGGTCCAAAATTATTTTCCTTGGAGATAATTTAAAATTTATGATGCAGTTGCATGAAAAGAGTTTTTCCTCGTGAATCCTCAGATGATTGCGTTTTGTCTCATTGGCTTACCCACACGCTCTTTCCCCAGACACATAAAAAAGCGAGGAGCCTGGAACTCTATCTGGGTCTTGCACATGGGTGGCAGGGACCAAGTCCTTGGTCCTCTCTGGTGCTTTCCACGTGCATTAGCAGGGAGCTGGACCAGAAGCAGAACAGCCAGGACTGGAACTGGCGCTCTGGATGGAGGGTGCCAGCCACGAAGGCGGTGGCTTAACCCAGTGCACCACGACGCCAGCCCTGATACTTTGTAAGGCAATCTAGTTCGGTAGTTTGTAGAACGTTGCACGTTCAGGATCTGATTGCTTCCTAGTGGTATTTCTTAGCTCAGTTCCCTATTTTTCTATCTTTTAAAAAATTTTTTTAAACTTTATTTACTTGAAAGGTAGAAGGACAAAGACAAAGATCTACTTACTAGTTCACTCCCCAAATTCCTGCAACAGTTAAGGCTGAGCTGGCGCTGTGGCATAGTGGATAAAGCCACTGCCTGCAGCACCAGCATCCCATATGGGAGCTGGTTCGAGTCTCAGCCGCTCCACTTTTGATCCAGCTCTCTGCCATGGCCTGGGAAAGCAGTGGAAGATGGCCCAAGTGTGTGGGCCCCTGCACCTGCGTGGGAGACCCAGCGGAAGCTCCTGGCTCCTGGCTTCAGATCAGCCCAGCTCTGCCCATTGCAGCCATTTGGGGAGTGAACCAATGGATGGAAGACCTCTCTCTCTCTCTGCCTCTGCCTCTCTGTAGTTCTGCCTTTCAAATAAATAAATAAATATTAAAACAAAAACAGTTGAGGCTGGGCTAGGAGCTGGGAACACAGTCTGGATCTCCTATGTGTGCGGCAGGGACCCAAGCACTTGAGCCGTCGCCTGCTGCCTCCCGGGGTCTGCATTCGCAGGAAGCTGGAATTGGAAGCAGAGCCAGGACTGGAACCCAGGTACCAGGTATGGAATACAAGAGTCCCAAGCCTTAACCACTACACCAAAAGCTGCCCAAGTCCTGTGTTCTGTAAAGAACGGTTTTTCATCAATAGGATGACAAACTACAGATTTATTTTATTATAATTTATTTATTTGAAAGGGAAAGAGAGTGTGTGTGCACATGTGAGTGCTTGCATTCACTCTCCAAATGGCCGTGACGGCCAGGGCTGTGACGTTCTGAAGCCAGGAGCCTGGAGCTTCTTCCAGGTCTCCCATGTGGGTGCAGCAGCCCAAGCACTTGGGCCATCTCCCACTGCTCTCCCAAGCACATTAGCAGAGAGCGGGATCGGAACTGGAGCAGCCGGGACTCAAACCAGCACCCATACAGGTGCTGCGGGCTGTGGCTTTACCCACCGTGCCACAGGCCGGCCCTGCTCCTTGTATTTTTAGACTTTGTCTTTGTTGCAGCTCAGTGAGCTACAGCCCGTGGGCCAGATGTGGGCCATAGCAGCTTTTCTAAGCCTGAAAACTAGGGGAAAATTTAAATAGAAGCATTTTTTAAAGATTTATTTATTTGTTTGAAAGGCAGAGTTACAGAGGCAGAGAGAAAGAGAGAGAGAGAGTGTGAGAGAGGGGTCTTCCATCCACTGGTTCACTCCCCAGATGACTGCAATGGCTGGAGCTGCGCCGATCCAAAGCCAGGAGCCAGGAGCTTCTTCTGGGTCTCCCACGCGGGTGCAGGGGCCCAAGGACTTGGGCCATCTTCTACTGCTTTCCCAGGCCACAGCAGAGAGCTGGATAGGAAGTGGAGCTACTGGGACTCGAACTGTCGCCCATATGGGATACCAGCACTGCAGGCGGCAGCTTTACCCGCTACGCCACAGTGCCAGCCCCAAGAAGCATTTTTCTGCCACATGAAAATTGTATGAAATTCAAGTGAGAGTGTTCATAACATTTTACTGGCACACAGCCCCGCCCATCATTTGCATATCATCTAAGGCTGTAAGAGACCCTGTGGGAAGCCTCCGACGCGCTGACCTTGCACGAGGCCCCGTGTCCGGCGGCTGCAGCACGGCCTGTGCAGCGGCTCCACCTCACCTCTCTTGCTCGTCCCCCTGGTGATGGCACCTGGGATGGAGTTTTCAGGCCTGTTTCCGTGAGGGTGCTGTTTCCACTTTCCAGGTGAGAACACCGGGCCAGGAATCCCAGGTGCAGCCCTGGGCTCTTCGCCCTGTGTCTCCTGCTCCCCCAACGGCTTCGCCAGCTCCACCTCTCTCATTTCCACCTGCCTAATTTTTGCCATTCTGATGAGTGTAAAACGCTCTCATAATGTCGTTTTGATTTGCGTTTCTCCGCTATCCATGGATTTGAATATTTCTAGTGTCTGGGTTCTTCACTGACAAGTTGCTCCTCGAAATTAAAGTAATATATTTTCTAAACAAGGTGAAAAAACATTTTTCTTTTTTTAAAAGATTTTATTTATTTATTTGAGAGGTAGAGTTACAAAGTGAGCGGGAGAGACAGAGAGAAAGGTCTTCCTTCCGTTGGTTCACTCCCCAGATGGCCACAATGGCTGGAGCTGAGCCGATCCGAAGCCAGGAGCCAGGAGCTTCTTCCAGCTCTCCCACATGGGTGCAGGGGCCCAAGGACTTGGGTCATCTTCTACTGCTTTCCCAGGCCGTAACAGAGAGCTGGATTGGAAGAGGGGCAGCCGGGACTAGAACCAGCACCCATATGGGATGCCAGCACGGCAGGCAGAGGATTAACCTACTTCGCCATGGAGCCAGCCCCGAAAAAAATATTTTTCTTTAAAAGATATATTTATTTGGGCCGGCGCCGTGGCTCACTAGGCTAATCCTCCGCCTAGCGGCGCTGGCACACCAGGTTCTAGTCCCGGTTGGGGCGCCAGATTCTGTCCCGGTTGCCCCTCTTCCAGGCCAGCTCTCTGCTATGGCCAGGGAGTGCAGTGGAGGATGGCCCAAGTGCTTGGGCCCTGCACCCCATGGGAGACCAGGAGAAGCACCTGGCTCCTGCCATCTGATCAGCGCGGTGCGCCGGCTGCAGCGCGCCGGCCGTGGCGGCCATTGGAGGGTGAACCAACAGCAAAGGAAGACCTTTCTCTCTGTCTCTCTCTCTCATTGTCCACTCTGCCTGTCAAAAATAAATAAATAAGTAAATAAATAAATAAATTTTAAAAAAGATATATTTATTTGAAAGGCAGAGTGAGAGAGGGGGAGAGAGAGTGTTTCTATCCACTGGTTTACTCCCCAAAAGTCCCCAACAGCCAGGGTTGGGCCAGGCCAAGGCTAGGAGCCAGGCATCCCATCCGGTCTCCCACATGCATGGCAAGGGCCCAAGTACTGGGCCATCTTCTGCTGTTTTCCCAAGCAAGGAGTTGGATTGGAAGCAGAGTAGCTGGTACTCAAATCTGCACTCAGATATGGGGCGCCAGCATTGCAAGTGACCGCTTAACTCACTGTACCACAACACTGACCCCCCCAAAAAAAACATCTACCAAAGACATTTGCATTTACACACCTTCCTTCCTTGTTGCAACTTGAGGTTCGTGTTCTAAAAGGGGGTACACAGGCCGGCGCCGCGGCTCACTAGGCTAATCCTCCGCCTAGCGGCGCTGGCACACCGGGTTCTAGTCCCGGTTGGGGCGCCAGATTCTGTCCCGGTTGCCCCTCTTCCAGGCCAGCTCTCTGCTGTGGCCAGGGAGTGCAGTGGAGGATGGCCCAAGTGCTTGGGCCCTGCACCCCATGGGAGACCAGGAAAAGCACCTGGCTCCTGGCTCCTGCCATCGGATCAGCGCGGTGCGCCGGCCGCAGCGTGCCGGCCGCGGCGGCCATTGGAGGGTGAACCAACGGCAAAGGAAGACCTTTCTCTCTGTCTCTCTCTCTCACTGTCCACTCTGCCTGTCAAAAAAATAAATAAATAAATAAATAAATAAAGGGGGGTACACAGAGGCTGGTCTAATATGCTTCATCTGTGTTACTGGGGGTCAAAGTTCAGGTCCACCCAGTTGTGTGACTTCTTGACAGTTACAAGAGATGTGTGACACAATCACAGTCGCGTGACTTCTTGACACTAGAGCCCTCTGGGCTCCATTTCCTTCTGCGTAGAAGGCAGGTTACCGGGAGGATTAACCTGCTTGGCAAGCACAGGTGTTTCGTCTAGTGGATAAGACCCCAGGTAAGACACCGGAGTCCCAGGTGGGAGTGCCCGGATTCAGTGCCGGCTCTGCTCCTGACGGCAGCTTCCTGCTAATGCAGACGCCGGGAGGCGGCAGGGGTGGCTCCGGTACGTGGCTCCTGCCACGCATGGGGAAACCTGGATTGAGTTCCCTTCTTCTAGCGCCCAGCTTTGGCCCCAGCCATTGCCGGCATTTGGAAAGTGAACCAGTGGATGGGGGAGTTTCTCTCTCTCTCTCTCTCTCTCTCTCTCTCTCTCTCTCTCTCAATATTTTAAAAAGTGCTTGACACATAGTGGGTTATCAATCAGTATATTGGGGATGAAGCCTGCGATGATCCCCGTGAGCTCGTTCAGGGCTTGGCGATCATTGCCCTCTTGTGGCGTTCGGGTGAGAGTGAGGGTGAACTATTCGTGTGTTCGCTGGTGTGGAGTGTATGGGCTGTGTGCTGTTCCACTGGTTCACTCCCTAAATGTTCCCAATGTTTGGAGCTGGACTGATCCTAAGCCAGGAGCCAGGAGCTTCTTCCAGGCCCGTTATGGGGTGGGGTGGGGGGGGCGGGCAGGGGCCCAAGGGCTTAGGCTGTCTACTACTGCTTTCCCAGGTGCATTAGCAGAGAGCTGGATTGGAAGAGGAACAGCCGGGACTCAAGCCAGCGCTGTATGGGATGCCAGCACTGCAGGCGGTGGCTTTGCCCACTATGCCACAGTGCCGGCCCCAGAGCAAATATTCTTTTTTTTTTTTTTTTTTTTGACAGGCAGAGTGGACAGTGAGAGAGAGAGACAGAGAGAAAGGTCTTCCTTTGCTGTTGGTTCACCCTCCAATGGCCGCCACGGCTGGCGCACTGCAGCCGGCACATCACGCTGATCCGAAGCCAGGAGCCAGGTGCTTCTCCTGGTCTCCCATGTGGGTGCAGGGCCCAAACACTTGGGCCATCCTCCGCTGCCTTCTCGGGCCACAGCAGAGAGCTGGCCTGGAAGAGGGGCAACCGGGACAGAATCCAGCGCCCCGACTGGGACTAGAACCCGGTGTGCCGGCGCCACAAGGCGGAGGATTAGCCTAGTGAGCTGCGGCGCCGCCAGCCTAAAAGCCTTTTGTTTAAAAAGGATTTTGCAATTTCTCATTTGCAAGAGAGTATCAATGGATAAAACCATGGTGAAAACTACATGGGGTCTGTACCTAGGATTCTCCAGTGCTGTTGAGTAAAAGTGATTTTCTTTTCTTTTAAAAATGCTTTATTTATTTACTTATTTTTGAAGATTTATGTATTTATTTGAAAGAGTTACAGATTGAGAGGGAGAGACAGGGAGAGATCTTCCATCTGCTGGTTCACAGTGGCCTGAAGCCAGGAGCCAGGAGCTTCTTCCAGGTCTCCCACGTGGGTGCAGGGGCCCAAGCACTTGGGCCATCTTCTAGTGCTGTTCCCAGGTCATTAGCAGGGAGCTGGATCAGACGTGGAGCTGCCAGGACACAAACTGGCGCTCATATGGGATGCTGGCGTTGCATGAGGCGGCTTTACCCGCTAGGCCACAACGCCAGCCCCAAAATATTTTATGTAGTTGTTTGAGAGAGAAACAGATCAGAAGAGAGAGAACATGCCTTTACTCCCTCATTCCTCAAATGCCCACAATGCAGCTGGCTAGGACTGGGCAGCCTGGAACTCAACCCAAATCACTCAACTACTTGAGCCACCTGCTTCCCAGGGTCTGCACTGGCACGAAGTTGAGCCAGGAGCTAGAGCCGGGCATCAAACCGGGCTTCTTAACTGGCGTCTCGATCGCTAGGCCTGTCTCCCACCCCAAAGCAACTTTGTTCTTAAAGTCAGCCTGACGGCCGGCGCCATAGCTCACTAGGCTAATCCTCCACCTGTGGCACCGGTACCCCAGATTCTAGTCCCGGTTGGGGCACCAGATTCTGTCCCGGCTGCTCCGCTTCCAGTCCAGCTCTCTGCTGTGGCCCGGGAGGGCAGTGGAGGATGGCCCAAGTGCTTGGGTCCCTGCACCCGCATGGGAGACCAGGAGGAAGTACCCGGCTCCTCGATTCAGATCGGCACAGTGCTGGCCATAGCGGCTACTGAGGGGGTGAACCAACGGAAGGAAAACCTTTCTCTCTCTCTCTCTCTCTCTCTCACTGTCTAACTCTGCCTGTCCAAAAAAAAAAAAAAAAAAAAAAAAAAAAAAAGTCAGCCTGGCTTTATGTTCTTTTTTATTTATTTATTTGACAGGTGGAGTCACTGCCTTCCTTGGCCACAGCAGAGAGCTGGACTGGAAGAGGAGCAACCAGGACTAGAACCAGTGCCCATATGGGATGCTGGCGCCGCAGGTGGAGGATTAACCAAGTGAGCCATGGTGCTGCCCGCCCCCAAAGCAATTTTGAAAATGTGATTTTCCTAAATGGAGAAATGAAATTTGAGCCCAACGGAAAAGACCCCAGTGAAATGGCTTTCTCTGAGAATATTCTAGAAAGGAGGCCCTACTGTGCTTGTAGGGGTGTGTGTTTCTGAGAGTAGGCATTTGTGTAGGGGTTTGTGTGTGGGGGTGTGGTTACGTTCAAGGATGTGTGTAAAGTGTGTGTCTACATAGGTGTGTGTGTGTGTGTGCAGGAGGAATGGAGTTTAGGTTGTCCAAGTAAGGGAGGAAACAAGAGCTTAGGGGCGGTCCTGCAGGTTCTCTTCAGGGAGCTGTGTACCGAGGGTGTTTGCCCTGGCCTTGGCGTTGCTGTGTGAGGCCTGTGAAGTGGGCCAGGGCACATTCCTGGCGAGCTTTGAGCAGCTGTGTGCTCTGTTTGGCGTGAGGCGGGCCTGCCACCTGTGTGTCGGGACCCTGGTGACAAGCAGCCGCCTCCCACCTCACTGGGACTGGAATTGCGGTTCTGAGCCTCCTCGGGTGATGGTGATGCGTGCAGAGCAATGTGGAGTGGAGGGAAAAGTTGGTCCGCAGAGGGAGGAGTTACGGGAGCAGCCACCTACAGCGAGTGGAGCAGTGGGTGAACCACCTGGGTCAGCTCTGGCAGTAGCCTGTATGAGCACACACTGCGTACTTGGAACTTTTCCATCCATTTGAAAAATTTCACAATGAAATTCTAGGGAAGGGATGAGAACCAAGCAATTAAAGGATGTTGTCTCAAGACTCCCAAAATTGTAAGGTAGCTGGGAAAATTTCTTCCAGGTCAGGTTTTTTTGTTTATTTGTTTCAAAAGTGATGAGCAGAATGAATTGGAGTCTAGGGGCCAGTGTTGTGGCACAGTGGGTTAAGCCACCACCTGCGATGCCGGCATCCCATATTGGAGCACAAATTTAAGTCCCTGCTACTCTGCTTCTGATCCAGCTCCCTGCTACTATGCCTTGGAAAGCAGCGGAGGATGGCCCAAGTACTCCCATGTGGGTCTCCCACCCACATGGGAGACCTGGTGGGGTTCCTGGATCCTGGCTTTGGCCTTAGCTCAGCCCTGACTAATGTGGCCATTTGGGGAGTGAATCAGTGGATCGGAGGTCTCTTTGTGTCTCTCCCTCTCCATCATTCTGCCTTTCACATAAATAAATCTAAAAAGAGAGAATGAAAGAAAGAGAGGGAGGGAGGGGTGGAGAGGTACATTCCTGGCCTTTCAAATCCCCCAGTCTTACCCAGAATCGGCAAAGCAAGATGGCAGCTGCTGTGGACTGAGTGGTGTCCATCAAGAAGATGTGCTCAGACTCTTGAAGCTTGTGACTGTGACCTTGGTGGGAACTGGGGCCTTTGCTAATGCAGTCGAGTTAAGGTAGAACCTAATCCCGTGACGGGTGTCCTTATAAGAAGATGGAAATTGGGACACGCAAGGAGAAGATGAGGGCGATGAAGGCAGAGTGAAGCAGCTCCGAGCAAGGACCACCACGGGCTGCAGGCAGCCACCGGGAGCCGGGAGAAGCAAGCGAGGTTCCTCCCTTAGGAACCTGAGACAGCGTGCTCTGCCCACGCCTGGATTTTGCACTTTTGGCTTCTAAGACTTGGAAAAACAAATTTCTGTTGGCTTCAGTCACCAGGTTGTGGTGCTTTTGCTATGTGACAGCCCTGGACACTGCGAGAGTGGCCAGTTCCAGACTGGAGTGGCAGCGGAGTGAGATGGCCTTCCTCACCTTTGGAGAAGTCCTAGCATGCAGTAGGTTGGCTCGGGACAACTGCTAAGCAGTATTGCATGATTCATTTTTAAATGCTTATTTTTAAAAAATATTTACTTATTGGCTGGCGCCGCAGCTCACTAGGCTAATCCTCCGCCTTGCAGCGCCGGCACACCGGGTTCTAGTCCCGATTGGGGCGCCGGATTCTGTCCCGGTTGCCCCTCTTCCAGGCCAGCTCTCTGCTGTGGCCAGGGAGGGCAGTGGAGGATGGCCCAATGGGAGACCAGGAGAAGCACCTGGCTCCTGGCTGCAGATCAGCGCGGTGCACCAGCCGCAGCGTGCCTGCCGCGGCGGCCATTGGAGGGTGAACCAATGACAAAGGAAGACCTTTCTCTCTGTCTCTCTCTCTCACTGTCCACTCTGCCTGTCAAAAAAAAAAAATTTACTTATGTGGAAGGCAGAATCACACACACACACTCACACTCACACTCACACACACACACACACACACAGCGTTTCCATTTGCTGATTCGTTCCCTGCTTCTCTCTACTTCCTCCTCTTGCCCCTTGTAGGCCATTCTCAACCCAGCTGCCAGAGCGAGCCAAAAACCCACTGGTTCATTTCTCTCCTCTGTTCATGACTTCCTGCCTTGGCTGGTTTATTTGCAAATTCTCCAGAGACTCACCAAGCCCCTGCTCACTGGTGCAGCTCCTCCAGTTTCCTTTGAACTTTGCCAGGAGGGGTTCCTGGGAAGCCCTGTGCAGAGAACACAACTGCTCTCCAATTAAAGGTGGTTTCTTTTATTTTTAAAGATTTATTTATTTATTTGAAAGAGTGACAGGGAGAGAGATCTCGCATCTGCTGGTTCACTCCCCAGATGGTCCTAACAGCTGGGGCTGGGGCTGGGCCAGGCTGAAGCCAGGACCCAGGAACTCCATCTGGGTCTCCCGTGTGAGTAGAAGGGGCCCAGGAACTTGTATCATCCTCTGCCACTTTCTCAGGCACTTTGGCAGAGAGCAGGGTCAGAAGTGGAGCAGCTGGGACTTGAACCTGCGCACTGAGAGGGGATGCTGGCATCGCAAGCAGCGGCCTACCCCACTGTACCACAACTCTGGCCCCTCAGGTTGGTTTCTGAATTTCTTTCTTCTGTTTGGCCCAGACCAGCTCCTGCTAGAAGCAGAGGTGGACGCCCTGCCACCCAGCCCCACCTTGAAGGAGGCCAAGGTGGGGCAGCTCAGCGGACCCTTCCCTTAACCCTTATTTGGGCTCCCAGGGTCAAAGTGATTGAAGTCAGCGAAGCAGGGAGGTGGGGAGGAGATGGGCGGAGTTGACGCTTACCTGTGCTTTCTGGCACCTGAGTGACCCCTGTCCTGCCCTGGAGGTGGGGAGGCAGGCTGGCCTCTCATGTTTGAGCCTGGACTCGCTCCCGGATAAGTTCTGGGGCAGGAGAACCCGCAGGCCGGAGGATGTGGGCGTCCCCGACGGTCGTCTGGTAAGTGCCCCTTACCCAGGCCTGCGGCAAGGCTCTTGTTTCGGACGTCACGGGAACTGGGAGAGGCCGGTGTAGTGCCGGGCAGCCTGGTGCCAGACGTCGTCCCTAGAATGCAGAAGCCTCACACCCAGGAGAAGAGGGGTCAGCGGGCGTGAGCCTTGGTCGTTTTGTGGCCTTCGCCAGCGAGGTCTGCTCCGTTGCTCCTGCCTTCCCCAGGCCCTGTGTCACCCTTAGTCCTGCTTCCTCCCAACACCCTGGTTTGTCCTAGAGGGGTCCTTAAAACAAGTTAGGGCTCAAGGTGCCAAGAGATGCTCCATTTCAAGGGGCTTTCAAACACCAGGAGTCCTGGTCACAAACCATTTGGCTGTGGGGTTGGGGAGAAAAATCTCAGTGGCGATCTGAGATAGGCTGCGTGTCCCACCATCTCTCCTGTCCCTGTCCGCCCTTCTTGCCGCCTGCTGGCTCTGGGATTCGTTCCCTAAGGAAGGGAGCACATTAAGGAAAACTGCTTCCGGGAAGTGCAGGGTTTTCCCACGGTCCTTTCGAACAGCCTCAGTCTCAGAGCCAGAGCTACCTCCCCTCCCCAGCTCAAGAAGTTCTTCTGCGGAGATGCTGGGCCCGAGGCCTCGTTCACGTCCTGGCTCGGCTTCCGGTCCATCTCCTTGCTAACACGCACCCTGGGAGGCAGCAGATGGTGGCTAGTGCTTGGGTCCCTGGCACTCACATGGGGACCCTAATGGAGCTCCTGGCTCCTGGCTTCAGCCTGGCCCAGCCCTGGCTGTTGTGTGCGTTTGGAGAGTGAACCAGGGCATAGCCGATCTCTATCTGTCTCTGCCTCTCTGCCTTTCAAATAAACTGGAAATAAGTAAATAAAAAAAGAACAGGAAAGAAATGCTTCAAATAGCTCCTGGCAGTGGGAGTTGAGCCCTCCAAGGCCAGCGTGGATGTCAGTCATAGCTGGGCTATTCTCTGCAGGGCTTTTGTTTGGGGCAAGGTTTCTAAGTCAGCGGACAATGAAGAACAGGGTGGGCGAGCCCTGTCCTGGCAGCACTCCTCCTGGTGCCTTCCACGGAGGCTCAGCTTGGCCCAAGGCTGGCACAGGCAAGGTCAGGGGCTGCCTCAGCTGGGCTGCCGAAGTGAGGGGGCAAAGCCCAAGCCCCTCTTTGCTCCTAAGTGAAGCTAAAGCAGGCACGGCGAGGGCTGAAGGGCAGGGCCGCCAGCCCGCTGCTGCCCCCTTGCAAGGCCGATTTTGCACAACCCTCCGTGTGGGACAGCAGGGCAGGGGTCCCCGCGAGGACAGGGCTAAAGGTCAGAGACAATTCTCCCTCCCCGGGTTCACTCCTCTGCTCCAGTCTCAGATTTATTCGCGTTGGAGACTTTACTTCAAGCCCGATTGTCCCAGCCACGTCTTTGTTCTGTGAATTAATGACATAATAATAGCGCACCCCCCTTGCTGGGGGCTGGAGGAAGCCGGCAGCAGGGCCAGCGTGCGGCCAGCAGAGCCACGCAGGGCAGGGGCCCGCTGTCTCCAGGGACGGGGCTCCAGGTTGGCTTCCCTGTTTGTCTCTCCTCCTCCTTTGTGTTCTTTCTCCTTCTTTGTTCCTCTTTCGGGTTGATTTGTTCCTCCCCAACAGCTATACCTCCTCACACTTTCCCTGAAGACAGTGAGTGAGGCTGGGGCGGGCAGCCTCCTGCTCCTCTGCCTCCGAGGCTGCAGGCTCAGCTCAGATTCCAGGCCTGGGCCGGGGTCCTGTGATTCCTTGCCAGCCCGCTCTGGGGTGACCGGGGGCCTTGGCAGCCGGCCTGCCTGAGCTTGGCCTTGGGCCCTGGCTTTCTTCTCACCCAGGAATGGAAGGGCTGGCTGGTAGCAGCCTCAGCGAAGGCACAGTGGCTTTGCCTGTCTTTTTAAATTGAACTTTTTAAGCCTAATTTAAAAAAAAAAAAAAAACCACGAAGTCTAATATGCATACAGAAAAGCATCCAGGTCTCGTAAAAGGAGAAGTTTTTCTGAAAGAGCACAGTCACGACCTGCAAATATGAGGGCACTGCAGAAGATCTGTGGGAAATGGAATTAGGAGAGAACCTTATTTTGGCACAAAAAATAGAGATCCATGTATGGTTTCTCATAATGTACACTTTCTATGAGGTTTTTTTTTTTTTTTTTTTTTTTTTTTTGACAGGCAGAGTGGACAGTGAGAGAGAGAGACAGAGAGAAAGGTCTTCCTTTGCCGTTGGTTCACCCTCCAGTGGCCGCCGCGGCTGGCGCACTGCAGCCGGCACATCACGCTGATCCGAAGCCAGGAGCCAGGTGCTTCTCCTGGTCTCCCATGGGGTGCAGGGCCCAAGCACTTGCTGGCCACAGCAGAGAGCTGGCCTGGAAGAGGGGCAACCGGGACAGAATCCGGCGCCCCGACCAGGACTAGAACCCGGTGTGCTGGCGCCACAAGGTGGAGGATTAGCCTAGTGAGCCGCGGCGCTGGCCTTCTATGAGCTTTTTAAAAACAGGAACCTTAAAAACTGTCTCTCTCTCTCTCACTGTCCACTCTGCCTGTAAAAAAAAAAATGTTTATAGAGTTTGGTGCTGTGGTGTAGCAGGTAAAGCCACCTCCTGCAGTGCTGGCATCCCATATGGGTGCCGGTTCGAGTCCCGGCTGCTCCGCTCCCAATCCAGCTCTCTGCTTGTGCCTGGAAAAGCAGTAGAAGATGGCACAGGTGCTTGGGCTCCTGCACCCACATGGGAGACCTGGGGGAGGTTCCCAGCTCCTGGCTTTGGGTTGGCTCAGCTCTGGCTGTTGCAGCCATTTGGGGAGTGAACCAATGGATAGAAGATATCTCTGTCTCTCCCTCTCTCTCTGTAACCCTAACTTTCAAATAAAATAAATAAATAAATCTTTTAAAAATGTTTACTTATGTATTACTTGAAATGCAGAATCAGAGAGAGAGAGAAAGAGAGAGAGAGATCAATCTTGCATCTACTGGTTTACTCCCCCAAATGTCTGCAATAGCCAGGGATAGGCCAGAATGAAACCAGGAGACTGGAATTTCTTTTTTTTTAATTAATTTATTTTTATTTGAAAGTCAGAGTTACACAGAGAGAAGAGAGGCAGAGAGAGAGAGAGAGAGAGAGAGATCTTCCATCTGATGGTTCACTCCCCAATTTTCCGCAGCGGCCGGAGCTGCACCGATCCGAAGCCAGGAGCCAGGAGGTTCTTCCGGGTCTCCCACGTGGGTGCAGGGGCCCAAGGACTTGGGCCATCTTCTACTGCTTTCCCAGGCCATAGCAGAGAGCTGGATCAGAAGAGGAGCAGCCAGGACTAGAACCTGTGCCCATATGGGATGCCGACGCTTCAGGCCAGGGCGTTAACCCTCTGCGCCACAGCGCCGGCCCAGAGACTGGGATTTCATCCAGGACTCCCACGTGGGTGGCAGGGCCCTAAGTACTCGAGCCATCATCTGTCGCCTCCCAGATGCACAAGCAGGAAGCTGGATTGGAAGCAGAGGAACCAAGATTCAAACTGGCATTCCGACATGGGCCGTGTCATCGCAAGTGGCTGTTTAACGCACTGTGCCACATGAGCTCCCACATGGGTGGATTTCAAATGTTTTTTGCAGCACAATGAACTGATCTTTTAATTCCATTTTCTGTGAGGTTTTTAAAGTATGCTCATGTAAAATGAACAGGGGTCTGGATTTTATTTAATTCGTTAACTAGTTAGGGAACTGGTGAGATGTTATAGTCAGGTCTAAGGCAACTTCAAAGAGCAGTAGTCAGGAACGCGTGGAGGAATTCTAGTGTATGCGAAATTGGTCAATATCTATCAGATAACTGGCTAGGACCCATCTGCATTATTTCACAATTTCTCCGTAGTCCACAACATACAAAGTTGTAAAACTGCTCAAAGACAACGAGAGGTGCAGAGAATCACGTAGCTCTGAAGTGTATGCTAGACAACACCCAGCTCTCCACCAAAGACATCTGGCAATTTTGGGAGTCTGTTTTGGCTGAAGTTGGGAGACTGGAAGTTTGTCCAGGTCCCATGAGGCTGGCAGAGACCCAACTACTTGAGCCCTCACTTACTGCCTCCCAGGGTCTTACTGGCAGGAAACTGGACTTGGGACCTTGAGCTGGGAGAATTGAACCTAGGAACTCTGATATGGGACATGGGTGTCTTCACTACTAGGCTAAATGCCTGCCCTCAAACTTACGTTTTTTCTTCTTTTTTAAAGATTTGTTTATTTATTTTAACATCAGAGTTACACACAGAGAGAAAGAGAGGCAAAGAGAGAGAGAGGTCTTCCATCCACTGGTCCACTCCCCAGATGGTCACAATGGCCAGAGCTGAGCCGATCCGAAGCCAGGAGCCAGGAGCCAGGAGCCAGGAGCCAGCAGTTTCTTCTGGGTCTCCCACGCGGGTGCAGGGTGCCCAAGGACTTGGGCCATCTTCTACTGCTTTCCCAGGCCATAGCAGAGAGCTGGATCGGAAGTGGAGCAGCTGGGATGCAAACTGGTGCCCATATGGGATGCTGGCACTGCAGGCGGCAGCTTTTACCCACAGTGCTGGCCCCTCAGCAAATTTTTAAAAAGAATTTATTTTCTTTATTTGAGAGGCAGAGAAATAGAGAGAGAGAAATCTCCCATCCACTGGTTCATTCCCCACATGCCTATAATGGCCAGGGCTGGGCCAAGAGGAAGCCGGAAGCCGGGAACTCAATGGAGGCCTCCCGTGTGGGAGCCATGCATTCCCTGTTGTCTCCCACAGTGCCCATTGGCCGGAAGCTGGGTGAGAGAAGGCAGTGGAGCCAGGATTCACACCAGGTGCTCTGACATGGGCTGCAGGCATCTAACCCCTGCAGAAGGTTTCTGAGATTCACCCACATTGTTGGATTTATCAGTGGTCAGTCGCGTGTGTGTGTAGCATAGTGTTCCGTTGGTGAGTGGACACCCTGTGGTTGATAAGCATCCGGACGGCTTCCGGCTTCCAGAAGCGGTAGTGCTCCCGTGAATGCTCTCGTGCCCGTGTTTGGCGGCACCTGCGCTGGCATTTCTGTGCGTGTGGAGGTGAGGGTCGCAGGTGGAGGTCTGATCAATTTCAGCAGATCTGCGTTCCAAAAGTGGCTGAACCAAGCTCCCTCCCACAGGGAGCAGGCGGGAGCTTTCTCCGCACTGTGTCTGCCCTGGCCCCCTGTTGAGGTCAGTCCTCTTTTCCAACTTCTGGCTCCAGGATTGTTCCGCAACTCCCCTCAAGGAACCTGTGCTGAGAATTTAGGCTTTGGGCTGCGGTTTTTAAAAATAGCCAGAGTCCCAGCAAGCAGGATTCCATTAAGACAGATCCTGTCCCTTCCCCGCTTACAGCTCTCCTGGGCTGCTCGTCCTGTTCCTGACAGAATTCTAGCCTGCGCCATGGCTCCCGAAGGCCTGGCGGCTCCGCCCGGCCTGCCCCTCACCTGCTGGCCACTCTTCCTCTTTGTTGCTGACTGCAGCTCCACTGACTTCCCAGGTCCTACACATCCCGGGCTCATCCCTCACTCTGCACCTGCTGGGCTCACATGTCATCTCTCAGCCACGTTTTACTCGACATGGGGAAATTTGGAATAAGCAAAACCCAACCGAAACCAACCGGTACAGGAGCCTGCGCTGGAACACCACACGCTGTCTCGTGCAGACCCCTCCGGCTCTCTCTCACTCCATCCTTGCGCTGTTGTGCAGAGAACTCAATACACACAGTCATTCTTGCTCAGGGACAGGCAAATCAATCGCGTCGGGGGAGGTTCACCGGACTTGCCTCTCTCAGCGTGGAGGAAGCGGCTGTGAGGCTGTTTGCCAGTTGAGCTCGACGTCCCTGATCCGGAAATGCGTCTTCTCTTTCCTCTCCTTTGAACTGCTTCTACCGTCTGCCTGGTTCCCTCGTTAATAACGAGCTAATTAAATCTTCCACACAGCCTCATTTATTTTATCTGTATGAGGTCATGATGCTACCTTTTTTCTCACCCTGTTATCTTTTTAAAAAATTGTCGTTTAGCACCGACCTCTCCGTTGGAGGGAGCCCCCCTTTCTCTCTGCGCTGTAGGCTCTTCGTCTCATTGTTCTGCTTAATTTTGGGGGGAAGTTGACTGTTGTTTTTCTTATAGATTGACTTATTTATTTGAAGGGGGGAGAGAGAGAGAGAAAGAGAGATCTTCCAACTGCTGGTTCACTCCCCAAATAACTACAACAGCTGGGGCCAGTCCAGGCCAAAGCCAGGAGCCCAGAGCACCATCCGGGTCTCCCATGTGAGTGGCAGGGGTCCGAGCACCTGGGCCATCTTCCATTGCTTTCCCAGGTGCAGTAGCAGGGAGCTGGATCAGAAGCAGAATAACCAGGACTCGAACCGGCGCTCTGATATGGGGTATGGGATTGCAGGCTGTGACTTAACCCACCACACCACCACGCTGGCCTCAGAGCTGACTGTCATCCGAAATGTCTTTATTCAGCTATGTTTTCACTTGTCCATGATGGTTCTTTCTGTGTCTTGGCCATTGCACACAGTAGGCCCTCAAGAGGAACAGCATGGAGTGAGTGAATGGATGCAGGTAGATCGGGCCTCGGAGCCTGTGTGTCCCTTTCACGCTCTCTGTTCTGTCCTGCAGGGCCGTCTGCCTTGTCTGTGTTCAGGCTGCCGTGTCCGCGTGGAGTCTCCCCTCCAGGTCAAACAGGCACGGGGCGAGCCCTGCACGTGAAGCTCTGACAGGTAACTCGATGATACTTCCAGGCTCGGGCAGTTCCTGCGGAGACTGGTAGCTGGCGTGCTGGGGCGAGTTGGGTAACTCTGAAGTGAGACAGCCACAGAGCCTGCCCACAGTGTGGCTGTCCGCTGCCCCCTCCCAGCGCCAACAACACGGGAGCCAGGGAGGCCACGTGCCGGGGTCTCATGGCTGCCTGGTGCCGGGTTCAGGTTGGGCCTGGCATCCTCTGACTCAGAGCCCGGGGCTTGTTTCAGTCATAAACACCAGCACGCATGGCATGTGCCCTGTGCCGTTGCCAGGCTGGCCTTGCTGCCTCGTCCTTACATCAGCACGGTGTTTACAGCAGGGGACCGAGGTTCAGAAGAGTGAGGGACTCGTCTGCGGTCTCACAGCAGTGGGTGGCAGAGCCAGGACTTCAACCCGGGCAGCCATGCGCCTGCAGCCAATGAAGACCCTGTGCCAGTGCCATGCATCTGTCCAGCAGTGTTCTGGGCCAGGCCTTGTGCTGGGCACGTGCCACACATCCCTTCATTGTGTCTTTGAGACAGGCACTGTCACTGTGCCACAAGGTCAGGGGACGCCGAGACCACCTTATTGTTTGTAAGATGTTACTTATTTGAAAGGCAGAGAGAGAGAGAGAGAGAGTTAGGGAGAGGGAGAGGGGGAGGGGGAGGGGATGGGAGGAGAGGGAGGAGATGGGGGAGGGGGAGGGAGATTTTCCATTCTCTGGTTCACTCCCCAAATGCTTATTTTCGCCAGAGCTGGGCCAGGCTGAAGCCAGGAGCCTAGAACTCCACCTGAGGCTCCACACGCATTGCAGGGGCCCAGTACTTGGATCATCACCCCCTGTTTTCCCAGGCGCATTTGCTGGAAGCTGGATTGGAAGCACAGTAGCTGGGACCCAATCCAGGAAGGTCCAATGTGGGATGCGGGTGTCCCGGCAGCAGCTTAACCCACGACACTACGATGCCTGCCCCGAGACTAGCCTCACCTTTTTTTTTTTTTTTTTTTTTGACAGACAGAGTGGACAGTGAGAGAGAGACAGAGAGAAAGGTCTTCCTTTGCCGTTGGTTCACCCTCCAATGGCCGCCACAGCCGGTGCGCTGCGGCCAGCGCACCACGCTGCCGATGGCAGGAGCCAAGTACTTCTCCTGGTCTCCCATGGGGTGCAGGGCCCAAGCATTTGGGCCATCCTCCACTGCACTCCCTGGCCACAGCAGAGAGCTGGCCTGGAAGAGGGGCAACCGGGACAGAATCTGGCGCCCCGACCGGGACTAGAACCCGGTGTGCCGGCGCCACAAGGCGGAGGATTAGCCTAGTGAGCCGCGGCGCCGGCCAATAAATAAATCTTTTTAAAGAAAGAGATTTGCTTATTTACTTGAAAGGCATAGTGACAGAAGAGGAGAGCCAGAGGTAGATATCTTCCATCCACTGGCTCCCGAGGACGCCATCATCTCCCACCGCCTGCTCGGATGCAGTAACAGGAAGCTGGGTCAGCAGCAGAGCAGGCGGGGCTTGAACTGGCCCCTGGTATGGGATGCCAGCATCACCAGCACTGGCTTAACCCACTGTGCCACAACGCCAGCCCTAACCATCCTCCCTTTCGACTTCAAGTCGGAGAGTCCCCAAGACCATTTCAGGTTCAATAATCACACATCCTGGGGAGACCCGGGGCCAGGCTTCCAGGTGTCCTTACCTGAAGAGTCCGCCACTCCTGCTAACTTCTCCCAGCAGCAATGTGGGACAACACACAAAGAATGTGGCCAACCCGGGCCGAGGTCATCGAGTGGTCAGACAGGTGGGCGTGGCTGCCCTTAGTCTCCAGCCCCCGTGGTGAGCTGATGCCGCAGCCCCGGCATAACTCACATCGTCGGCAGGGGCTATCCGATGTGGCCAGTGCCCGCAAGGAAGCAGACACTCCTATTGGACAGAATATTCCGAGGGCTTAGAATTTGCCACCCAGGGGCCGGCGCCGCGGCTCACTAGGCTAATCCTCCGCCTTGCGGCGCCGGCACACCAGGTTCTAGTCCCGGTCGGGGTGCTGGATTCTGTCCCGGTTGCCCCTCTTCCAGGCCAGCTCTCTGCTGTGGCCTGGGAGTACAGTGGAGGATGGCCCAAGTGCTTGGGCCCTGCACCCCAGGGGAGACCAGGAGAAGCACCTGGCTCCTGCCTTCGGATCAGCACGGTGCGCCGGCCGCGGCAGCCTTTGGAGAGTGACCCAATGGCAAAGGAAGACCTTTCTCTCTGTCTCTCTCTCTCTCACTGTCCACTCTGCCTGTCAAAAAAAAAAAAAAAAAAAGAATTTGCCACCCTGGTGCTGGGGAGATGAGGGGGCCTCAAACTCTTTGGGCCAAGGTTAATTCTTCCATGTGCCCGCCTTGCAAAAGAGGAAATGGGTCTCGGAGGGGTTAAATGACTTGTCCCGGGTGCGATAGCTGGAGCCAGCATCTGAGCCCTGAGCGTCCAGCTCCAGGGTTGGATGCACACAAGGTGTCCCTCCTGGCAGCTTGCAGGTCTCTGTCGAGAGAGAGATTAGCAGGTAAGATGCTTCCAGCCTTCCCAGGCCTCCTGTTGTCAGATGGTTCACACCTAGAGTGAGTTTCGTTCAAGCTGTCTCAGCTGTCCAGTGTTGGGGAGCGCCGGGCAGGGCTCCCTGGGGAAATAAGCAAGAGTCCACTTCCTATGGCCCAGCTGTCTCACGTGTCCCTGTGTGATTCCAGTGCTTGGATTGAAAACACGCACTTCACACACGTATGGCGGTGTCTGTGGATGCCAGGCACTGGGCAGGGTTTCGGGGCATGTGGTGAACAAATACCCCATAACTTACACTCTTCACGGAGGGCGTGGTTTGCACGTCTAGGGGACAGGCAGTAGACGCCTCTCCAGGGTGTGACGTCCGTCATTCCCATCTTTAGGACACGCCAGGCTCTGGCCAGAGCCGTGGGTGGAACAAATATTGACCCAGCGGCTACAGGCGCCAGGTGCCACTGTGAGGAAGAGCCATGGGGGTGGGGTGGGCAATACTGCCAACACAGCCCCTGCCCTACCTGAGCCCATTTTCACGTGAGTAAGAGGCGGGCTTATCTCCACCCATCTTCCCTCATGGGAGATCCCACGAACAGCCACACACCATAATTCTCATCAGTGGTATGAGCCGGGAAGGAGGGAGACACAGAGCTAGGGTGGAGGATGTGGGGGGGTGGTCACCTGCTCCCCACCACCCCCTTCTTCCTTCCAGAAGTGTCTTCCTGGTCGACCGATGAGGTCGAGTGCTTCTCTGATTACATGACCCTGTGGGTCCCACGGAGCCGCCTGGGAGGGTTGAAGCGGTGGCTGAGCAGAGTCCTGCACCCACCAGGTAAGGGTCGACGTCGGCTGGGTCAGACAGCGTCTTCGCTTGTACGCCAAGCCCACCCTTGGAAATTCGTAAGGCACCCTGTGGGACTGGTGTGGCCTAAATCTGTCCTTGGTGGGTTGGGCGCCCGGTGGCCGTTGGCTCTGGACATCTCAGAAGTAGCATTTGTGTATTAAAAGGCCACTTTTCCAGTAGAAATGCTGTGGATACATTAAGCTGTCGCCTGTTCTTTGGAGAGCCATTATTAATGGAAAACAATAGATTAATAGTTTTAAAACGCTTGTTCAATAAGTAATTTTTATGGCTCTGGATAGAGCCCATTAAACATTTCTGTGTGTTATTATAAAGAAGTTTTAAGCGTAAAATCATAAAGTCAATAATCAGAGAATTAGTCACAGCGGCCAGCCACAGCCCATTAGTTTTCTGCGCTGGCAGAGACACCTGTGGCTTTTGAGGGAGCGTTTTCATTTCGCGCGGCAGCCCGGCAGCGCCAGGTGGGGCTGGAGAAATGGCGGTGCCTGCTGCCTTCCGAGAACTTGAGCGGACAGCGAGCAGGTGTGAGCGGCGGGGTGCCAGGCAAATATTTACAAAGTGCAAACGTGGATGCAAAACTAAAGCGACCCAGGTCAATTTGCACATCCAACCTCAGACACTTTATTTCCCCAGTGAGCTGCCTTCCACAGCCTCCCTCCGCCCGAGGCGCGGCCTTGATCTCCTGCTAAAGATAGTAGTGCAAGCTGCGAGCTGCTGGGAGGGGAGCCTCTCCCCCCGGGGGACCCCCACGCAGAGGCTGCCGGAGCCCCGTGTCCATCTCCCACCCACTGCACGCTGAAACTGCGAACCTTCAAGAACGGCCTTTAAAAAAATCATGACAAGTGATACAAGATAATTGTGGAAACTAGAGGGAGGTCCAGGGCAGATGATGGAGCGGGCCCGTGATCCCTCTGCTCGGGGGGAGCGCTCTTGAGATCTCTGTCCTCCCACGGAGACTGCCTGAGCCTCCTGATGCCAGGCACGGTGCCAGCACCAGGGAGGTGGCGATGCCCCGGGTCGGGGGTGACAGGTAGGGAATAGAATCGATACGCAAACTGTTTGATGGCGGGCTGGCAGGCAGTGTGCACTGCGGAACAGAAAGCAAGGATTCAGGATCAGGAGCGCGGTCAGCGTGGGCTCGTGGTGCAGTGCGCAGGCAGGTAGGAAGGAGGGAGTTCCAGACCCAGAGCACGTTGGGTGCAGAGGCCCTGAGGCAGGAGTGCGCCTGGCATGCTTGAGACATGGCCCCGGTGGTGCGGCAGGGTCAGAGGGAGGGAGGTGGGGGGTATGGGGGAGGTGGTCAGCGAGTGAGGGGTCTTGGAGGACCTTGGCTCCCTGCCCCCCCGCCCCCCCCCAAGAGAAGAATGGAGGTGTCTGAGCAGAGGAGAGCAGGATCTGATAGAGCTTTGAAAGGGATCCTGTTGGCCGCCGTGCGGGTCACAGACACAGGGGCTAAGGGAGGAAGCCTGGAGCCAAGACAAGAGGAGCCCAGAGCAGGGAGACGGGGCCGGATTCCGGATGTGCCACAGCCCCGCTTCCCTGTGGTTTAACTGTTTACTGTTTCTGTGACCTGCAGAAAATTCCAGAAACAACTCATAAGCTTTAAGTAACTTTCATTATAGCGTACAGGTAACCATTGTTCTATTTTATTATTAGTTATTGTTCTTTCTCTGCCTAAGTTTTTTTTAAAGGTTTATTTATTTGAAAGTCAGAGTTACACAGAGAGAGAAGAGAGGCGGGGGGGGGGGGGGGAGAGAGAGAGAGAGAGATCTTCTATCCAATGCTTCAATCCCCAGATGGCCGCAGTGGCCGGAGCTGCACTGATCCAAAGCCAGGAGCCAGGAGCTTCTTCTGGGTCTCCCACGTGGGTGCAGGGGCCCAAGAACTTGGGCCATTTTCTTTCTTTCTTTTTCTTTTCTTTTTTTTTTTTTGGACAGGCAGAGTGGACAGTGAGAGAGAGAGACAGACAGAAAGGTCTTCCTTTGCCGTTGGTTCACCCTCCAATGGCCGCCGCGGCCGGCACACCGCGCTGATCCGATGGCAGGAGCCAGGTACTTCTCCTGGTCTCCCATGGGGTGCAGGGCCCAAGCACTTGGACCATCCTCCACTGCACTCCCTGACCACAGCAGAGAGCTGGCCTGGAAGAGGGGCAACCGGGACAGAATCCGGCGCCCCGACCGGGACTAGAACCCGGTGTGCCGGCGCCGCAAGGCGGAGGATTAGCCTAGTGAGCCGCGGCGCCGGCGGGCCATTTTCTACTGCTTTCCCAGGCCATAGCAGAGAGCTGGACAGGAAGTGGAGCAACCGGGACTTGAACCGGTGCCCATATGGGATGCCAGCACTGCAGGCGGTGGCTTCACCTGCTACGCCACAGTGCCGGCCCCTGCCTAAGTTTTAAATGATACTTTATTATCATAGATTTGTGTGTTCAAATGCACTTCATAAAGTCTGTGGACAGTGGACTTACAGACAGGTTTACCCTGACGGAATCTGCCTTGAGGATAACTGAGCGCTGGGGTCAGGCGGCAGGGACCCAGGCACGTGCTCCAGGAAGTTGGGAAGTACCTTCACGAGAGGCAAATGTGGCACCTGTAGGGTCTGGTGCCATCCGTGATTTCTGGCAGCCACAGAGCATCTTGGAGTGGGTCCCTGAGCCTAAGGGGCCGCAGAATCCCCCGTATCCTCTGTATCCGCCATATCGAAGGGGCAATCACTGGGCCTTCCTGAGGGTGCAAATCTTTCTGGGCCTTCTACCTCTGCCTCTTCCAGACACCCCAGGAGAGCAGCTCCGGGCAGAGGGTGTCGCTGTTTCTGACCTTGCTCACCAGTGGCCTCAGCAGGCTCAAGCCACGTTGCCGTCCCTTTCTCATTACAGGGACCTGGAGGGGCCCCGACCACCTGGATTCTTCCCTGGCCAAGTGTGGCTACTTCCTGCACCCTACTCCCGACGGGGACTTCATCTTCCGAGTTCGATACTCGGCCTGCTTTGTGCAGAAGGAGGTGGGCCTGTAGAATATTTATTTAAAAGACAGACAGACTGGCAGATGTTTGTCCACTCCACAAATGCCAGAAACAGCAGTGGCTGGGCCAGGCCGGAGCCAGGAGCCAGCTAATCACTCTGGGTCTCCCACTGGGTGGCAGGCCACTTGGGCCGTCATCTGCTGCCTCCCGGGGTGTGCATTAGCAGGAAGCTGGAATTGAAAGCGGAGCTGGGACTTGAACCTAGAACTCAAGCAGTGTCTTAACTGCTGTGCCAAATGCCGGGTCACGTAGAGGCCTCCCCCTCCCAGGAGCTTGAGGCCCTAGAAACCTGGGACCTCCCCAGTGAGGGCTGGAGAAGGGGGTTTCGGGGCTGGGGATGGAGGGGTGGGCTCATGCCAGTTAGAGGGGGGCAGGCCCTGACTTCTGCAGTGGCCTGGAGGGGGCGTGGCTCCCAGGTATTCTTGGTGGCTAACTTCCACTCCCTGGCTCCTGGGCAGGTGTAGTCCGGCCCAGGACCCTCACGGTCCCCCCCGTTTTCTCCTCTTTCATTTCTCATCCTCCTTCCGTGACCTAGCCCAGTTCTTCCCTATCGGGGTTGAGGCCCTTCCTGGGGATGGGATTTCAGGAGCTCGCCTCCTCCTTAGTCCTCATTCCCCTCCTCTCTGCGGTCGCCTCCTTTTGCACCCCCTCCCCCCAACAGCAGCCTTCTCAGGCCCTGCCCCCAACCTTACCCCTGGGTTCTCCCCACGTGGCGGGAGGAGGGCCCTCGTGGAGCCCATTGCTATGACATCTCTGAAGCTGCACCTTGCACACAGGGAGGGAGGGGATGAGCAGACCAGGTCTTTGTGCGCGGGCCGGGAACGGCCACGCGCCTTTACCTCGGGCCCTCGCTCCTCAGCTGCCTTGACTGTCAAATGGGCACAAGAAAGCCGGTCGTGGGTGTCAGAGGGGACACAGATGTTGAGCAAGTGTTTGCTAACTGTCAGGGGAGCTCAACCAAGACCTCTTGTTCTGGCCAGGGCGGTCCCTCCCAGACCCACAGAGAATCCCCAGCCCTGAGGATTTCCCCGGTGGGAGCCCAGAGGCTGAAGCTGGGGTCTGGGTCCCTGCCAGTCTTAGTCTCCCTGCCCACCCTGCCTCCGAGACCTGCCAGCTTCTAATCCTATTTGCTGCTAACGGCCACTGACCCGTAATTGTGGCCTATTAACTGTGTTTCTCTCTTTCACCCACACGCACGGATCTCGCCCTGCTTCCAGACAGCAAATTACAGGTTGGAAATCAGAATATTTCAAAAAGGGGTGAAGAGGTTGGAACGGAGTGATCGCTACGTAATGAAGTGTCCCCGAATCGGGTCGAGGCTGGGCCAGCAGAGCGTCCGCTGCAGCCCCGAGTTCATCCAGGTACCGGCTGCCCAGGGCCTGGGGGGCGGCCGTGGGGCATCTGTGCTGGACTTCTCTGTGAAGGTCAAGGCCGGCGGCCATAGCTCCGAGCCCAGGACATGGCCAGGCGGAGAAGCGGCGTCTGGGGCTGCCTCACGCCTCGTCCTCTGCAGAGGCCTGGGTTCTGCGGGGCTTTTCTGAGCACCAAGGGCTGAGATGGGCTAGGAGAGGGGGTGGGCTGAAGGTCTCTGAGTGGCTTTCTCCCTGTTGCCACGGGGCCACCTGCGTCATCACCAAGGCTGCAAAACCCTCTCTGTGTTCCTTCTCTCTGGGTTGAAAGTCGCAAGTTCGGATGCTGCGTTTTAGCTTGGGCCGTGGCGGTTACAGAGCTCAGGTGCCATCAGGTGTGCTGTGTCCGTTTGGAAGATCAGCCCTGGAGGTTTATCCCCAAACCCCACTCGTCCTCTGCCTTACGGGCCGCTAACCCCCCCCTGGGGGGGGCTCTGTGAGCTGAGCCAGCCTGGGGGGTGGGGAGGATGGCAAACACCACAGGGGCCAAACCTGTCACAGAAAGGGTGTGGATTTTACCCCTGCCCTCATTTACTCAACAAAAACGAAAGTACTTCACAAGGTCTATGGAGAAATGGAATGAAGAGATGTTTCTTTTCCTCTCTGTCTCTCTACCTCCTAAGTAAATAAACAATTAAGTGGATAAGAAAGGGGAGCAGGTGTTTAGCCTCGTGGCTAAGCCACCGGCATCTCACATCGAGGTGCCTGGATTTGAGTCCGGCTCCCAGTCCTGCTTCCTGCTAAGGCACACCCCGGGGGGCGGTGGTGATGGCTCAAGCCCCTGGGTCCCTGCCACCCACGTGGGAGGCCTGGAGTGGGCGCTCATTCCCAGGTTTGGCCCCAGCCCAACTGTGGACATTGCAGCACTTGCGGTGTGAACCAGTAGACGCGAACTCTCTTTTTCTCTCTTCCAAATTAAAAAAAAAAGTTTATTATGATGCAAAAAAGTTCAGAATAGTTTTTCACAACATGCATCTTCTAAGAATTTTCTGGAGATGCCTCGTATGTAGGGCTCAGTCCGTGCCAGGCACTATTCTTACCGTTCTGTTTTAACTCACTTCACCTCCACGGCAACCCTAGGCAGCAGGTGCTCTTGTTATCCCCCGTCCAAGGATGAGAGAAGTAAACAGAGATTCAGAGATGTGCCGGGGACCCGCAGGGCGGTGCCGACTTGAGCGAGGTGGCAGGTGGGGGTGGGGCAAGTGGAGCAGCACAATCCCCACCCCAGCCCCCGCAGAGGGGCAGCAGCTACCCAACTCCAGTCCATCTTGCAGGATTTCCAACTTTTGATGAAAAACTGGAAATCTGTAATTGTTTGGGAAATCTCCTTATTAAAAAATAGTTGGCATTGTTTTTTTTTTTTTAAGATTTATTTGTTTATTTATTTGAGAGGCAGAGTTACAGACAGAGAGGGAAAGACAGAGAGAGAGGTTTTCCATCCACTGGTTCACTCCCCAAATGGCCACAACGGCTGGAGCTGCGCCGATCCAAAACCAGGAGCCAGGAGCTTCTTCCAGGTCTCCCATGTGGGTGCAGGGCCCCGGGGACTTGGGCCATCTTTCACTGCTTTCCCAGGTCATAGCAGAGAGCTGGATCTGAAGAGGAGCAGCAGAGACTCGAACCGGCGCCCATATAGGATGCTGGTGCTGTAGGTGGAGGCTTTACCCACTACACAACAGCGCCCACCCCAAGTTGCCTTTATTTTTATAAACGTGTGTGGTCCAATGAAATGCTGAATTTGGCCAGAGGGATGAGAAGGGAGACAGGAGGGAGGAGGAGGCTGGAGTGAAAACTCGGCTAATTAAGCACCTACTGCAGGGTCTTCCAAAAGCTCATGGATTTCAGATTTTCTGCTCTAAAATGAACTTATCTTTCCATCCATTGTCCATGGCATTTTTGAAGCCACCTTGCATTTGCTGGGTGCTGGTGCAAAAGTTTTGGCTAGGACAGAGCCCCTGGTCCCAGGAAGAGCGTATAGTGTTTTTCTCATCTGGCCTGGGCTTCTGGAATCTCTTTTAGCCAGCAGTTGGTTGTGTCAATTTCCTTCCTTCCTTTCTTTTTCTTTTTTTCTTTTTTGACAGGCAGAGTCAGACAATGAGAGAGAAAGAGAGACAGAGAGAAAGGTCTTCCTTCCAAGGAAGGGGAGGCAACTGGAAGAGGGGCAACCAGGACAGAATCCGGCGCCCCAACCGGGACTAGAACCCAGAGTGCTGGCGCCACAGGCAGAGGATTAGCCCAGTGAGCCGTGGCACCGGCCTGTGTCAATTTTCTTTTTTTTTCTTTTTTTTTTTTTTTTTTTTTTGACAGGCAGAGTGGACAGTGAGAGAGAGAGAGACAGAGAGAAAGGTCTTCCTTTGCCGTTGGTTCACCCTCCAATGGCCGCCGCGGCCAGCGCGCTGCGGCCGGCGCACCGCGCTGATCCGATGGCAGGAGCCAGGAGCCAGGTGCTTTTCCTGGTCTCCCATGGGGTGCAGGGCCCAAGCACCTGGGCCATCCTCCACTGCACTCCCTGGCCACAGCAGAGGGCTGGCCTGGAAGAGGGGCAACCGGGACAGAATCCGGCGCCCCGACCGGGACTAGAACCCGGTGTGCCGGCGCCGCTAGGCGGAGGATTAGCCTAGTGAGCCGCGGCGCCGGCCTCAATTTTCTATTGGTTTTTATTTAAGACTTATTTATTTGAAAGGCAGAATGATTGGGGCGGGGAGGGGAAAGAGACAGAGACAGAGACAGATCTTCCACCTGCTGATTAACTTCCCAAGCGGCCACAGCAGTCAGGGCTGGTCCAGGCAGAAGCCAGGAACCTGGAACTCCATCCAGGCCTCCCTTGTGGGTGGCAGCGGCCCCAGCACCCAGGCCCATCTATCTGCTGCTTTCCCGGGGGTATTAACAGGGAGCTGGACTGGAAGCCGAGCAGCCGGGACTTGAGCTGGTGTTCTCGTAGGATGCAGGTGTCACAAGCAGCGGTTTTACCCACCGCACTGCAGTGCTGGTCCCTGGCCTGGTTTCGGAGTGAGTGCTCTGTCTGGCGGAGCCCCCAGTCCAGTCTCTGCTGAGCCCGCCTCACTGCCTTTCCGGACTCTGCAACCCCTTTGCTTCCCCGCCGTAAGGAGCAGAGCTAAAGGGGGGTGGTCTTCCTCTACCCACCTGCCTTGCAGGGGTGCCCCCAGTTATGGGTTTGACGTCCCAGGGCCGGCCACTTCTCCTGCGCACTGGGCCTGTAATTCCAGGAGCAGCCGCCAGGGGGGCTGATCCTGCTGCTGTCACACGACACTGGGCGGAATCGCTGAGAACAGCGGGACCGACTCTCCGCTCTGCTGCCCGCTTTGTCTCCTTCTGCCGCCGAGGTGTGGGGGTGTGCGGGGGCCCACATTCCCAAACAAGGGCGCAGAGAGGTGGAAAGCACGCAAGCGACCGAAAACGGGTCTGCGCTGCCCCAGCCCCCGTCCCCGCAGCCCCCTCCCCCTATCTGAGAACCTCATCGAATTGACTGATTCATTCCTGGTGACTTCTGCAGCCGCCGCTTCCGTGGCTGCACCTTGAACTTGCATTAAGTTTTAATTAAAGCCGTTTCACCGGCCTTGCCCTTGGCTAAATGCAGCTGTGGGCACAGGGCACATAGATATTTAATACTCTGCCTCCCCCCGCTGATGGCGCAGGGTGCCCAAGGGTGTACCCGAGCCGTGCCCTGCTCGCAGCAATCCGCCAGCTCGCTTAAGTGTGCCCACAGGCCCTGAGCGGGAGGCCGAGCAATAACTATTCATTGCCCTGGGTTAAGTGTGCCCAGGGGCACCCGTAAACTCAACGCAGTGATTAGCGATGGCTCCCAGTGAAGGCTGCCCAGGTCCTGGGCGAGGTCCGTGGACCCTAAATATAGCCTCCTCCTGGCGACTGAAAGGGCACCGTGCGCTCCGGCTGCGCCTTGGTCACCGCACCGCTTCCGTCTTGTGGGGGAAGGTCGCCCGCCTTCCTAAAACCCAGCCTGCGGGGCTCCGCTACCTTCGACCCAGGGCGGTGAGGACAGTGGGCAGCCCTGGCGGTTGGTGGGGGCAGGCTGAGTCCTCTGCAGCCTCTCGCCCAGCCGAAGGCGTCTTCCCGAATCTTCCCAAGTCAAAGCGGCTCCTTTCCCAAAGACAAGGTCATAGCAGGGCCCGTGGGCAGGGTTCCCTGTGGCCTGTCCAGAGCCTGTGGCTCACTGGGGCCCGGAGGCAGCAGAGCTGGGACACCCAGAGGCCTGAGTGTGTGTGTGTGTGTGTGGGGGGGGGTCCTCCTTCCAGCCCTACCCAGTCCTCTCGACGCTGGGAGAGGGTGGGAGTAGCCTTCGCCTAGGAGTCCGTCCCGTCCCCTCTGGCCTCGGTTGTGGGGGGTGGGAGCCAGAGGACCTCAGAGGGGCTCCCGTGGGTCTGTGGCTCCATCCCAAGTCTACACCTCTGGCCCAGGTGTGCAGCCCAAGGGGGAGTGTGGGGAGAGCAGATGAGAGGACGCCGGGCGGGGGAGGGCTGCAGCTGGGGCTCCAGGAAGGTCCCCCGCCCGCGCCAGCACCGTGTTCCTCACCTGTGAAAGGAGAGATAACGGCGCCACTGCATGGGCCGCCTGGGTGGGAGGCTCAGGTGCACTCCAGGACCAGCTGTCCTGTTTGCCGGGGACCGCCCTGTTTGGGTAGAGAGGCCTCAGTGGCAGAACTTCCCTCTCTGCCCTCACCTGTTGGGCCCAAAAAGGAAAGACAAGGGAGCAAAGCATGCTGGGAAGACCGGGAGGAGGCCCCCGAGACGAGCCGCATGCAAAGTGGGTTCTGAACAGCATCTGCACGGCACACACCCACTCTCGGCCTCGCCAGCTGTGCCCGGGACCCCGGCTGCCCCATCGGCCAGGCCCAGGGCGGCAGCTGAGGCTGCGACATCTCCCTGGCTCTGTTGACACTGGAGTCCCAGAACATAAATAATTTTCTTGTCTTAATGAGCAAACAGCCCGGCCGCCCACTGGGGTGATTACCGGCGCTCTCGTGCCCGGGGCAGCAGCGTCTGCTCGCTCACCCTTGCTTGCCACTGCCAGGAGGTGTTGCTGTCTCTTTGTTCCGCAGGTCTCCCGGCCTCTGCCCCTCGGAAGCGACGGTGGGCAGGTGAGTAGGCCAGGAACAACTTTCTGGAAGGTTCTGCCAGGCCTGGTGCGCCTGTGGACAGCACCCACTCTCTGGATCTGGATCTTGGCTGCCAGAGCTTTCCTGATGCTGTCCAGGCAGAAGCCCAAGGCCACCAGAGGGGCACCCTGAGGAGGGGGCCAGCTTTGCGTGGGGGGCCGAGTTTCTCCCTGCAAAGTCCCTGGTAACCGGAAGTCCCCCCACCCAAGCCTCCCTGTTCCCAAGTCGCACAGCTGCGTCCCTGAGCCTGCCTGCTGCTGCCCGGGGTGGGTTTTCCGTAGCCTTCCGGAAGGAACCAGCCTTTCACTCCACGTCGCTTCCCCTTGAATCTCGGCTCTGGGACCTTGTTCTTTTTTTTTTTTTTTTTTTTTTTAATTTTTTGACAGGCAGAGTGGACAGTGAGAGAGAGAGACAGAGAGAAAGGTCTTCCTTTGCCGTTGGTTCACCCTCCAATGGCCGCCACGGCTGGCGCACCGCACTGATCTGAAGCCAGGAGCCAGGTGCTTCTCCTGGTCTCCCATGGGGTGCAGGGCCCAAGCACTTGGGCCATCCTCCACTGCACTCCCCGGCCACAGCAGAGAGCTGGCCTGGAAGAGGGGCAACTGGGACAGAATCCGGCGCCCCGACCGGGACTAGAACCTGGTGTGCCGGCGCCACAAGGCGAAGGATTAGCCTAGTGAGCCGCGACGCCGGCCAAGGGACCTTGTTCTTGCTCGGGGCCTGAATTCCTCCAGCCCGTCCTCCGAGGAAGGGGGCTGGGGAGCCTCCCGGCCCACCTTTCTCCCAACAGCAGGCACCCCCTGTGCACAAGGCCCTGGTGGTAAAGTGACAGCGGGAGCAGAGACAGGGCTGAGCGGTCGGCATTGCTCTGGGGTGACGGGACCTTCATTTCTTTCTTTGTGATTTATTTCTTTGAAAGGCGAGCATCAGAGATGGGGTGGGGTGGGAGAGATGGAGAGAGAGAGAGAGAGATGGAGAGAGAGAGAAAGGTGGGGAGGAGGAGATATCTTTTATCCATGGTTCACGCCCTCAATGCTGCAATACCCAGGGCGGAGCCAGGCTGAAGCCAAGAACTCCATCTGGGTCTCCCACATGAATGGCAGAGACCCCAGCACTTGGGCCATCCTCCACTGCCTTCCCAGACGCATTAGCAGGGAGCTGGATCGGAAGTGGAACAGCCAGGACGCCAGTGGGCTCTCCAGTACGGGATGCCAGCACTGCAAGCGGTGGCTTAACCGGCTGCTCCACAACGCTAGCCCCACCTTCATTTCTTTAGCCCTGCTGTGCCAGGCACCCTGCAAAGTAGCTGAACCCCAAAGAGCCAGGGCGCCCACGTCTTCTGTGTCTCCCCCGTCAGCAGCCTGCCCTCCTGCCCTGGTCCACCCCTTCCTCCTGCGGTGCTGGACCTTCCTGAGGTCCCCTTGAGTGTCCCTCTCCTGTACTCTGGTGACTGTGTCTCCCTGGCTCACTGACGTGTGCACGTGTCCCGCTGCTTCAGATGCCCTGGCTGCTGTCCCTCCGAGGGGAGCTGGTGGCCTCCCTGGAGGATGCCGGCCTGATGGGATTGTCCGTGGACATCAATGCCTCCGAAATCACTGTGCAAAGCCCGCGACAAGACCTTCTTCAGAGGCGGGAGGTCAGCAGTGGACAGCCAGTCCTGCCAGGCTGCGGGTCCCCCAGGCACGGCACCCGCAGGAGCAGTTTGCCACCCTGCCAGTGCCGACTCAAATGTCCACCTGCGAGACCGGACAGATTTAGGCAGGCGGCTTTGAAAATTGGACCCCATTAGCGTAAAGTGCTCTGCTCGGCAGATGAGGGGCCCTGTAATCATGCATTCAGCGCGTCCTGATGGTGGTGGCAGGAGCGTAATTACCGTCTCTTTAAATAGCCCAAAGTTGCCGGGTAAGAGGAGACGGCTCACATGACATTTGCTCCAAGCTCGCTTCCTGCTAAAAATATCCCCGCTAAATAATATTTCCTGGTTGCATCGGGGCGGTGGTCCCCGACCTGGGCTTGGGAGGGCTCGGGGCTTAGTCCAGAGACCAGTTTGAAGTGGGGGTGAGGAGGGCTGGGGGGGTTGCGTCCAGAAGGAGCTGTTTCAGAGGCCACAGGGCGGCCGTTCTGTCTCACCAGGTGCTGAACACCTCTGCGGAGCTCCTGCCACTCTGGCTGGTGAGCGGCTCGTATGCCTACTCCCTAGAAGCTGCTTGCCCCCTGGGTAAGACCCGGGAGTGCCCCTAACGGCACCCTCCTGACTGCATCACCCTGGCCCCCTCTGTGTCTCTCTCTCCACTGGGCACCTTATTCCCCTCGCTCCCGCCCCGCCTCCTCTCTTCTCGGCTCCAGTCGTGACCGTGCGTTTCTGAAATGCTGGATGGGGTGTAGGGTGCCGGGGAGAAGCTGAAGGCCGGCAGAGCTGGGGCTGGGGCCCCCCAAGCCGGGAGAGCCCCCGCAGCCTTGCTCGGACGCCCACGCGCACTGCTGGCGTCTGGGACCCGACACGTGCTCAGCTGTTGGGCTCAGTCTGGGGTGACACCATTGCCACGTGCCTTATGTAACATAAAGAGGCCTGGAATCTGAAAGACCACTTCCTACCTCCAGGGAATTTAAATTCTAAAGAACTTGGTATGCAAACTTAGGTGGATCAAAGACTTCATCCTGTGTGGGTAGAGCAGAAATGACTAAGCCTTCCCGTGTGTGCGTATAGGATTTCATCACGGACCTGAGTTTCGGGATCAGGGCTCTGGGGAGTTTCAGGCATTGGGGTGGCCCAGCCAGGCCCGGCAACATCTCTTCTCCTGTTCTGATGTTTGAAATCCCTTTATTTGGAGACAAATGGTTTCATTTAGCAACTGCAGAGCTGGCGTAATACGCCCTCGCGAGAGAGCTGACACGATGAAATTCTTGCTAAAGTGTAAACAGCTGATAGGAGCTGCGTTTCCTCAGAGCCCTGGGCCGGGACACGGGGCCGGGGCGACCGTCTTGGCGGAGACATCTCTGCAGCTTCTGGGGTGCAGCCCTGCTCCTGCCGTCTGTTTCCTTGGGGGCCTCTGCAGATGACGGGAGCCCCTGAGGGTCTGGGGGTGGCCCTTTCTCCTTCTCGCTCCACCCACGCAGCTGCGTTCCAGGACACCAAGTCACCTGCTGGCTGTCACCGCCTGGTGAAGCGACACCGCGCTGGCCACAGATGGCCCCCAGGCCCGTGAAGTGCAGCTCTCTCTGTGTCACGTGTCCTTCCGTTGCAGGGTCAGCCCAGCCTGAGTCAGAGGTCTTAGTTCACGTCCCCAAGCAGAGACTGGGCCTGGTCAAAAGAGGGTCTCACATCAAGGAGAGCTTGAGCCTGCGGTTCCTCCGGGTCCACCAGGCCGGCACCTTCACCGTGACCGAGAGCGGGGATTTTGTGGTGGTCAGCATCCCGGCGGCCGGGCTGTTGCGCGTCCAGGTCAGTGTCCTGGTGGCGTCACCAGCCTGCCCTCTCCCAAGACCACTTCTCCGGGCCATGGCCGCCGTGCAGAGTTGGGCACCGGGAGGGCAGATCTGGGGGTGCAGCTCCAGAGGGACCTTGCGCTCGTGCCCCTGAGCCCCAGCACTCTTGCGGAGGCGTCTCTGCGGGGGCGGGGGTGCCAGGACGCCCCCTGCCAGGCCCAACGCATCCCTCCTGGCCCCGCAGCAATGCCAGGAGGCCCGAGGAGGCCCGGGGACCAGAGCTTTCTACAGGGTGGACCTGAGCCTGCAGTTTGCCGAGATGATGGCCCCGGTCGTCTGGACGGTGGAGAGCGCCTTCCCCTGTGTGGGTAAGACAGGCACCAGGAGGGAGGGTGAGCCTGTGGGGGACAGGCAGGCCCCGCGTGCACCCCTCTCCCTGGCCCTGGGCTTCTTTCTCCCGGGACTGACGGGTCCCACACCCAACCAGGTAAGGAAGTGATGGGGTCAGACCCACTGGCCAGAGCCATCATGAGGACAAGGGCAGCACAGGGTCCCCTGGGTGACGAGGTCCCTGGCTCTGGAGTCGGAAGAGGGTGGGGCGGGAGGTGAGCGTCAGCTTCCCAGCCATCTGCACAGCCTCGGCAAGTGACCTTGTGGAGACTCGGTTTCTTCATCTGGAAAATGGGAACACCAGTACCTGTTACGCAGATGGGCTGAGAAGACCGGGGGGAGGGGTGGTCAGTGATGTAGAAGAGCCTGGCAGGAGGCAGATTGCTTCTGTCCTCATCTGTCCAGCTCTCCCTACTCGGGGCCCAGCTGTTCAGTACGCTCCAATAGACGGGTCAGGCTCTCGGGCCAAGAGCACTCCACCATGCAACCTTTCTCTCTCCTTCTCTCCCTCTTCCTTCCTCTCCTTCTTCTTCTTTTTAAATTGTGAAAGAGAGAGAGAAAGAGAAAAAGCTTCCATCCACTGAGTTACTCCCCAAATACCTGCCCACAACAGCCAGGGCCGGGCCAGGCTGAAGCCAGGAGCCAGGAGCTTTACCCAGGGCTCGCACGTGGGTGGCAGGGGCCCAGGAACGTGAACCGTCACCTGCTGCCTCCCGAGTCAGGAAGCTGGAGCCAGGAGCCGGAGCTGGGATTCCAACCCACGCATCTGGCGTGGGGCGCAGGCATCCCGCCGGGGTCTGAGCGGCGAGGGCGAATGCCCACCCTGCGACTCACTGCTTGACCGGCGAGGAACCGCCTTCTGAACGTGGTGTGTGTCCTCCACGCCAGGACACGGGGATTTCATCTTGAAAGGGGTTTTTCGGTGTGAGAGCGGCTACCAGCCGACCTGGCACTCACACGTGCAAAACCACCGGGAGCAAACGCCATTGAGACACAGCGTAAGGAAATGCACATAATTCACAAATGCTGTCGATCACTTTCATCTCCGACTTCCCCGCGGTCCTCAATAGAAGACAGACGCGCAGGAGATTCAACTCAGATGTTAGCCGCGCCAAGAATGCCCGGTTACCAGGATATGATGTTTCGGTACTGCATAAAAATGTAATTATATTCAGAACTATATTTAAAGATTAAAAGGGGGACTGCCTACCACGTCCAGCCCCCAGTTCAGAATTGGAAACATAGGGAAAGACGGAGTGGAGGAGGAGTTCTGGGTCCCCTAAAAATGGCAACGTTTCCCGCAAGTTTTTACGCATTTTGGCTCTTTTTCTCTTCCCAGTTTCCTGCAGCCACGACATGGATTTTGCAAAGGCTGGGGCTTTACCCGACAAATATGTACCAAGCACAGAGGCCCCGCACGAGGCTTGAGGGGCCGCAGAGGCCCCCGGATTCGGCTCTGGGTGTCCAGCGGCGTCCAGTCTGCAGGGGGAGATGAGAGGTGTCCAGAGAATGCCCGTGGAGGGCGGGGGGCTCAGGGGTGACACCAGAGAGCCGGTGAGCCTCGTCTTGGGCCTTGAAGAGACGGTCAAGTTGTTAACACAGAGGTGATGAGCAAAATACAAAAATAGCAGCAGCAATAAAGACATGTTAGGAAGGTTTTTTTTTTTTTTTTTTTTTTTTTTTTTTTTTTCCTCTCTGGAATGATTTACACAGGAAAAGAATGTTCTCTTCCCCATCGTATTACTTACATGTCAGCAGCCGGAATGACTCTCCCTTCTCTGGCTCCCAGGACCCCTCGCCTGCCTCCCCCCGGGGGCCTCTCAGTCTTTCTATTCTTATCGTGGCCAGTGGGGCAGGCTCCCGCCTCTGCCTCGGTGGACGCCCTGAGCCCGGGGCCGCGTCTGCCTCTTGTCCAGGTTTGTCCGTCTTTGCCGGTCTTTGATCAACACTTCATACCTACTTGTTATGTTGCAGTTTTGCTAGGAATTTTCAAGAGGATGTTTTAGACAAAGACCACTTTTTTTTCCTTTGTAAATATGCGACTAACGAAGGGGAATATTAGTGGGTTGCCTGGGCTCTCTGTGGTCACGGGCGTTTTAGTGTCTTTCCCCCTCCCCACAAAGTCCTGGAACCTACAGGACATGTCCCGATTATTTCAGATGGTGGCTGTTAAGACAGTGGGGGTATCGGATGCCTCGGCGGCTTAACCCTCTGAACCACAGCGCCAGCCCTCCCTCCACGCCTTGTAAGGATTTATTTATTTATTTGAAAGGCAGAGTTAGAGAGAGAGAGAGAGAAGGAAAAACAGAGAGAGCACACATCCTACTAAAAACACAACCTCAGGGCTGGTGTTGTGGCGCAGCGGGTTAAGCCACTTGCTGCCTGCAGCACCAGCATCCCTTATGTGCAATGGTTCGAGTCCCAGCTGCTCCACTTCCAATCCAGCTCCCTGCTAATGCACCTGGGAAAGCAGCAGAAGATGGTCTGAGTGCTTAGAACTTGCACCTGAGTGGGAGGCCCAGGGAAGGCTCCTGGCTCCTGGCTTTGGCTTGGCCCTGCCCTGGCCTTTGTTTCTGTTTGGGGAGTGAGCCGGCAGGTGCAGGGCCTCTCTGTCTCTCCCTCTCTCCCTGTGACTCTGCCTTTCAAATAAATAAAGAGAATCTTAAAAAAAAAAAAAAGTGGGGAAGTAGAGTGTGCACCTGCAAGATAAATTTAGAGAAGGGGAGGGGAGAGATAACCATTCCACATTTTTATAGAAAGATTTGTTTATTTATTTATTTGAAAGGCAGAGTTACAGGGAGAGAAGGAGATTAAAAGATCTTCCATCTGCTGGTTCACTCCCAAGATGGCCACAATGGTCAGGGCTGGGCCAGGCCAAGGCCAGAAGCCTGGACCCTATTCAGACCTTCCACTTGGGTGGCAGGAGCCCCGGCACTGGGGCCATTTTCTGCTGCTTTCCCAGGTGCCTTAGCAGGGAGCTGGATTGGAAGTGGAGCAGCTGGGACTTGAACCAGCGCCCATGTGGGATGCGGCAGTGGCTTCACCCGCTGCACCACAGTACTGGCCCCTGTTTTCACGTTTAAAAAACTGTCTATTTATTTGTTTATTTGAGAGACAGACAGACAGAACTGTCACCTGCTGCTTCACCCTCCAGATGCCCGCAACAGTTGGGGCTGGGGTTGGGCTTGAGCCAGGGCTGGGAGCGAGGACCCAATCCAGGTCTCCCGTGTGGGCAGCGGGGACCCAACCACTTGAGTCATCCCTGCTGCCCCCCGAGTGACCCCGGTGGGAGTTGGAGCCAGGGTCAAGCCCAGGCACTCAGTGTGGGATGCTGGTGTCCTAACGCTCAGGCTGACGGCCTGCTCCCTGTTTGCGCAGTGGACAGTGGACAGCAGAGGTCTTGGTGGGCAATGCCTCTGGGGGTAGGGAGGAGGAAGCCCGGGGCTCAGGTGTGGGGGCTCCTGAGAACCCTGCACCTGCCTCACTCGGCCGGAGCCCATCCCCCCTCATAGTGCTCTGATCGTCCACGTGAGGCTGGTTCTAGAAAAGCCCTGCCTTTAACGTTTTGTCAGTTAATTAAAAATCTCTAAGACACTCTGCAGGCCACATCAGACACGACTTAGGCCTGTATTTGACCCGTGGACCAGGATTTGCAAGTTTGAACCCAACAGTTCTGGACCTTGGTTGGGGGGTGAGTTTGGCCTCCCCAGAGGGTGCTTGGCAGCGTCTGTAGCATTGTTGGTTGTGACCCAGGGAGCTGCTGCCGCTGCCTTGTGGGTGGAGGCCTTGGCCGCTGCTAAACATCCCACAATGTACAGGACACCTCCCCTGCCCCGAGCAGAGAGGGTCTGGTGTGAGGGCCGGATCTCACCTCAGGCTGGCTGGCGGGAGTCTGCCCAGGGCTGTGAGGTGCCTGCGGCTGGGCTGGTGTGTTTAACCTCCAAGTGGGAAACAGCTCCACGATCAAACTGGTGGTGGCATCCGGCTCAGGCCAGGTGCTCTCTGCAGGAAACCTGACTTTTTGCAATTCAATTTCACTTTCAAAAATGTGTCTTGATGTGCACCCAGTCTGAAAAAGGATTCCCCGGGGCTGGTGCTGTGGCGTAGTGGGTTAAGGCACTGTCTACAGTGCCAGCATCCCATATGGACAACCGTTCAAGTCCTGGATGCTCCACTTCCAATTCAGCTCTCTGCTAATGTGCCTGGGAAAATAACAGAAAAAAAAAAAACCTCAAGGTCATCTGTGAAGTTCAAAATTCAGGCCTGTGCTTCAATTTTTAAAAAATATTTATTTATTTTAAATGTAGAGTTAGAGAGAGAGTTCTTCCATCCACTGGTTCACTCCCCAGATGGCCACAATGGCCAGGGCTGGGCCAGGCAAAAGCCAGGTGCCCGGAGCTTCCTCCAGGTCTCCCACGTGGGTGCAGGGGCCCAAGCACTTGGGCCATCTTCCACTGCTTTCCCAGGCCATTAGCAGAGAGCTGGATTGGAACTGGAGCAGCCAGGGCTCAAACTGGTGCCCATAGGGATGCCGGTGTCGCAGGCAGTGGCTTTACCTGCTCCACCACAGCGCCGGGCACATTCGAGCTCTCCAAGCTTGCATTCCCCCACCTACAGTAAAGGGGACCCTCGTGGTCTGACAGCAGGGTATTTGGGGAATTTTATTTTCTTAGGAAGAAGACCGACCTCTGCCTCCTTTCTGGAAGGCTCAGGCACGGAGTTGCCGACCTCAACAGCCGCACCAAGGACCTCTCCATCCACGCAGTCCTCAAGCTCGGAGACCCCTGTGGCAGGAGTGTGGTCTGCTGCCTCTGCCCAGCGCCGAGCTGCAGGAGCCGCTGCCCCGGAAGGGCTTTCTCAGGACCCTAACCACGCACTGGCCAAGGCAAGTCCCGCTGTGCCCTCTGTCCATGGGTTCCTCCGAAGGGTTCGGTGCCCATAAGCCGTCCGCAGGGCCAGCTGGGCGTGAGATTTCTCTTTCACCACCATTCTTTCAGAGTCAGCCCCACTCTGACCCTACCCCCACCCCACCCCCAACTCTGTCACCTCACCCAGTTTCTCACCTGAAGGCAGGCCCCTCCCCCCATCCTGGCTGCCCCCAGCCTACCAGCGCCTACCAGAGCAAACGGAGGAGTAGGATCACAGCTATGAACTTAAAGTAGGGGAGGGAAACTGAGGCACATCCCAAAGGACTTGGGGTAGAAACCGGAGAACCAGCTGAGGTCTAGAAGCTTCCACAGGCCCTTCTCCTGGCCCGAGAGCCTCAGGCAGCCAGCGCCCACCTGCACTAATTTCTAATGCTGCTTCTCTTTCTACACTCTCTCGCCACAGCAGGAGCGTGAACGGTTCCCACAGACAGCCAGACCGGCAGGAGGAAGCTGGACCCCCACTGCCTCCCTCACCCCCAGAGCCACGGAGGCTGAGTGCGGCCCCCCGGCACCCCCGGGGGAAGTGGGGTTACCTGGATCTCCCCCGCCTTCAGCCACGCCCTCCCTAGAGTCCGCAGGAGCTGTTCAGGCTGGCCCCAGCCCCCCACGTCGAGGTTCCCCAGACCCCACTGCCCTGCCCGTGCCTTCGTCCTCAGAAGTCCCCTCTCCTCCGTCACCTCCGTCCGAACGGCCCCAACTGTTTCTGGGCTCAGGACCGTCACTTGCCCCTGCTGAAGGTCTAGGGGCTGAGAGGCCCGGGCCGGACCCTGCCCAGCCACCAGGAAGCCCCCTGCTGCAGGGAGAGTCACCGGGGCAGGAGGCCACTGCTGAGCCCATCCAGAGGGAGCCTGACCAGGCCAGCAAGGGTCTCCAGCCACTGAGGGAGCCCCCGATGGCCAGCCTGGCAGAGGAGGCGCTGGTTCCCTGCCAACCTGCCTCTCTCCCCAGCGTGGGCCTGGCCTCCCCAGAACCAAGTCAGGACACACAACGGCTGCGATGCACCAGCCTGCAAGGGCTGGAGGCCGCGGCTGCCACCCCAAGGGCGAGGCAGTGGGGGACCGCATCACCAGATCCCACTGGGAGCCACAGGGCGAGCCCAGCGGCCTCCCCAGCTGCCCGTCCGGCCCCCACCTCCAAGAAGCCCGCCGCCTCATCCGTGCAGGGGTCAGGCAGAGCTGGGGACCTGGAGTCAGTCCCCAGGGGGCCCCTGGGCCGGGACGCATCGGGGGCTGCACACCCATCCAGCCCTCCACCTCTGCAAGCCCCGACCCCGCCGGCTCCTGCGGCACCTTCACCCCCAGCCTGGCCGAGCCTGGACACCCACCCCCCGCTGGCCGCGGGGCCTTGGCCCACCAGGAGATGACAGGGCCCACCTGGGCACCTGGCTCTGGGTGCTCCTGAGCCTTGGCACCCCACGGAGGGGCTCTTCTGAGGAGCCCCTGGCTGGGCCGCTGTGGAGACCCTGGGGGTGAGTCCTGGGAGTGCCCCTGGGAGGCAGCCCAGGTGCCCCGGCCTCTCCTGTGCCTGGGCCAGGCGAGAGCGCGGAGCTCTGCAGCCCCGCCTGCCAGGGACCAGGGTTCAAGTCCCGGTTTCTCTGCTCTCTGGCTGTGTGACCCTCTCCGAGCCTCAGTTTCCTGATCAGTCAAGTGGGAAGATAAGAGTTCCACCCCAGCGGGGCAAGGGATAGACAGAGCCCCGCACAGGGCAGCCAGACAGCTCGGCTCCAGCCCAGGAGAGCAGGGCGGG